CTGGGACAGGAGAGAAGTGGAATAACAGAGGCTCCAGTAACCTGTAGCCTGACGTGTGACTGCACACACACAAAAAAAAAGGCCCTCTTGGTACTTCCCTGGTTGCCCAGTGGTTAAAACTCCACACTTCCAACAGAGGGGGTGCATGTCGATCCCTGGTTGGGGACCTAAGGATCCCACGTGCTGCGTGGCATGGCCAGAAAAAGGGGTGCCCTATTAATGATTTTACTGAGAAAGTTCAACATGAAATTCAGGATATCAGCAGTTCCTCGGGAAAAATATGCCAAAAATAAAATTAACCTTTGATTCATCTTTGTTGTTTTTAAAAAGTACACATTCTAATTTCTATGTGCTAACTACAGACTAAAATAAACTTGAATCCTATAAAGTCGATGTTGATGAAACCAGTAATGACTGGATTCATGCAATACGTTGGGGATTTTTAAGAACAATGTCTATTATAAGGTTTTAAAAAAGCAAAGGGAACTATATTCAATATCCTGTGATAAACTATAATGGAAACGAATATTAAAAAAAAGAATGTCTATATGTGTGTAACTAAGTCACTTTGTTGTACAGCAGAGATTTGCACAACATTGTAAATCATCTGTATTTCAATAAAAAATAAAAATTAAAAAAGAAAGCTTAAAAACATGTTTTCTAATCTACGCAGGAAAGGGGACAGCTGGTTTATTCATTATAATCATCAATGCTAGGTTTCATAGTCAGAAAATTAGTGCACTGGGGTTTTTCTAGCAAGTCCATGGCAAGTTTAGATTTTTCTCACAAGAAGGGTGAGAAAATATAATCTAAGCAAGCTGGCTGTCTGGGGCCAGACTCACTGGTGTCACCTGAAGTCTACAAAGAAACATACCTAAGAAGAAAACCCACCTAAATACATGAAAGTCACATAGTCATTTAATGAGTTCCCGAATTAACTCTGTCCCCTTTTGACACAGTTCCCTACAGTTAGAAAAGTAATAATTATCATCTAACTTAGAATTATCGACAGTGGATATTTCTTTTGTACCAGCTCATTACTTTTCACCATAACCCTATAAGGTAGGTACTATCAACCCATTTCACAACTGAGCAAACTGAGGCCATGACATATGGAAGACTTGCCCGATTTCACACAGTTGTAGGTGGCAGAGCATAGATTCAAACCCAGTTCTTTCTGACACCAACCACATTCTAGGAACTCTAAATCTCTGTATTTTATTGTCTCCCTATTTCTAATGAAGTCACTTCCTTTAAAAAAAAATTTTTTTTCCTTCTCTGTCAAACTGCAAAAGCTTTTTGGGGTAAGAGTCTAATTCCACCCAAAGCTTTGTCTTAATTACAACGAAGGCACAAATGCAGGTCTGCAGCTCCTCTAAAGAACGCTACAGAGACAAGTCTGCCTTGCTTATCCGAGGGGTCCTATTTCTTATTCAGAATTCAGGCAGTTTCATAATAGAGATTCTCAGCTCCAGTCCCCTGTCACCAGAGACATTCTTAAACTACCTCACCGAGAATGGTTTTATAGAAAATACAGAGAGTGGAAACAAAATGGGAGAAATTATGTGGCAGTCAATCTAGATTTTTGTACAAAAGCAAGAAAACCTATTCTTCAGCTCCCTGAGCATACAGAAATTTACAATTTCCCATGGTTTATGGACTTTCCATCCTAGCATCCCCAATTTCCACGGCAGCACCATGGAGCCTGGGGCTCAGTGGTTTCCTTGCCTGATGATCATCCTACACACCTCCTACCCAAGAATGGCAGAGGCTGAATCCCCAGTCCTTTCTATTTTAAAAATGGAAAATCCCCCACCCTAGCTTTTAGCTAGGAACAGGGCTACCTGAAATTAACATGGCATTTCCCACACACTTCTTTGCAGCAGGGTGTGTGTATTTGATTAAGTTCTAACTAACAGCATTTAGGCAGAAGTATAAGAGGCAACCTCCAGGACAGTGAACATGTGTTCTTCACCTTGCTTTACCATTCCTCCTACCATTGGCTGAAATAAGGATGTGACGACTGGATAGTCCAGCATCCTTCTTGAACCATGAGATAATTTTCACTTCTGGGATTGTAGAGTGGGAAAACTGAAAAGAACATAGGACCCTGACCTTTGGACTTCTGACTTTGGTGAGAGAATAAAACCTTAGGCATTTTCTATGCAATGCTGATCCCATTTTAATTAGATTCACCCTGAGGAAATACCCGGTGCTGAAAATGCTAGGACAAGGAATAGCTCTGAGGTTCCAAATATAGTCCCAGGTAATTCTGAGCATATCTGAGAACATTCTTAAGTAAGAAGTAAGTGTTAGTTGCTCAGCCGTGTCTAACTCTTTGCGATGCCATGGACTGTAGCCCACCAGACTCCTCTGTCCTTGAAAATCTCCAGGCAAGAATAATGGAGTGGGTTGCCATTCCCTTCTTCAGGGGATCGTCCCGATCTAGGAATCGAACCCAGGTTTCCTGCCTTGCAGGCAGAGTCTTGACTGAGCCACCAAGGAAGCCCCAGGTTAAGAGGATTATCTTTCCCTTTCCTGAATATTCCTAAGCATGAAGTCCTAAACAACTCAGTTTCAAGGACTGTCAAATTGCCCCTTCCCCTCTCTTGCTCCTTCCCATCCAGCCCAGTTGGAATATATGAGCAAAGCAGCAACACAGATGACCACATGTTCACAGCAGGATTTTGACACTCACATGGCAGCTGGTTTCATAGCAAAGTAACCCTGCAGCCCAGTCACCTCTCACACAAAGTTGCCCCACCTCTAGGTTAGTTTGGAGACAATCCTAGGAGCTGATATCTTCTGAGTGCTTAGTCTGTGCTGAGCTCTGGTCCAAACATCCTACATACTGTAACAATTTGAGCCATTTAGCAATTTTTAAAGGTAGGTATTGTTGTTACCAGACCCATTTTATAGATGAGGAGCCTGAGGTACAAAGAGGCTAAGTAACACAGCTGCGAAGTCTCAGGCCAAAATTCCAAGCTACAGCGATAGCCTGACAGGCTGTGAACATGCCCCCTACCCTACATCACCTGGAGAGGAGATAAAAGAAAAGCGATTAGAAGAATTAAGCATGGTGACCTCTTAAGCTGCCATATTTCATTAGAAACTTTAATTCTGCCTTACTAGTTGCACCAGAAAATGCTGACCACTCTCCCTTCTTTGAATAAAAGGATCTCCCGCTTCAGATGTATCATTACCTGCATGTTGCAAGCAATGTTCCCACCGTTAATAACTGCAGAGCAGGTGGGTAGAAAAGCCGCATAAAAATGTTCAAAAATCACCCCAGACCTCAGCAAGACACAAAGACAGAAACTGATTCATGAAAGTGAGAGGTAACCTCAAAGATCCACATGTTCCTGGGCTAAGACACCACTGGCATTCTGCTCGAGGGTTTAACGTCCTAGAAAACAATCCAACAGTTTGCACCAGGACCAAAATGTTGCCATTTAAAGGGATGTGGGAAATCCTCTCATGCAGCGTGTAAAACTGGGGCTCCAAATCCTGGTAAAGGAGGATGGGGATGGGGGTCTAAGACACTCACCAGCTGAGCAGGCTCTGCTCAGATCTCAGGTTAGAGGACATAAAAGTCTCACAAGAAAGCAGTGCCACGCTGCAAGCATTCTGTACAACTAACAATGCCACCCACATTCACCAGGGATCACTTTACTTTCTCTGGAGGGTGGAGGTGCTACAACTAAACTGTCAGTGCTAAGTCACATCTCAGACTCTTTAATATTCAAATGCTTTCTTCCCCTGATCTCTGCCCAGCTTATCGGGGCAATCAACTTGTTCCTAAGACACTCCCCAAAAATATGACATTTCTCACCAAACTCAGCCATAGCTGGCCTAAAAATGGGCACTTTCCAGACCAGAAGTTGAAACTCGAATGCCTTACAGAGGCCAAAACTGGGTGAAGCAGGCCCGGTCGCAATCAACTGAGACAAAATGGTGAATGTGCACCCTGCCTACGAAAACAGCTGCTCTCAGCTCCAAGTGGTAGTTCTAAAAAGAAAGTGGGACCAGCAGTCAGCAAACTTGAAACTACAAAGTCAGATACGTTTGTGAAATCTTCAGTTCTAAAATGTTGACATCAAATTTAAAAAATGTTTGACACCCTAAGGGCTAAACAAGACTACAGGTGATTTGGCATCTGGAAAGAGAATCTGCAACCAGCGACAGCCGAGTCACCCCTAGGCTGGGCATCCCTGGCTAGGGTCAAGGATCTCAGGCCAGATGCAAGGACCCAGGTAAACAGTCACTTGAAGTCTTCCTGTACCTAGCCAGAAGAGAGAAAATGCAATTTAAGGATCTGAGAAGCACTCCATCTGGAACCACTTCTTCAGAGAGGGCAGAAGCCCAGGGGACAAACACGGTCGCCTTTCTAGGGGATACACCATCTGCAGAGGAAGAGGCCACCTGTAGAGACCTCCGTGGGGCAAGGGAAGTGGAAAGGCATGAGAGCAGGAATTGGTGGGGAAGGGCTTCCCAGGAGGCGCTAGTGGTCAAGAACCTGCCTGCCAATGCAGGAAAGGTAAGAAACGCAGGTTCGATCCTTGGGTCGGGAAGATCCCCTGGAGGCAACCCATTCCAGTGTTCTTGCCTGGAGAATCCCATGGACGGAGGAGCCTGGTGGGGTACAGTCCATGGGGTCGCAAGGAGTTGGATATGACTGAAGCGACTTAGCACGCATGCGTGCACCTATCTAGTGAACTGAGCAGGCAGGACAGGTTCACTCTTCGGATAGCTGCAGGCAGGGAGAAAGGGTGGACACACTTCCTTGGCCAGCTGGGCCTCTCACCAGCCCTTCCTGGATGGAGCATCTCTGCCCCACAAACAGCACCCCTTGTATTAATAAGACCTTTCTGTGATGAATTTCTAGTATGCGAGGTCACTCTGGCAGCTTGGTGCCTTCACTCTCTGCCTAATTCAGTCACTTCTAGGAAGTCTTTTTTTACCTTCTCTTTGCACAAATGGGCCAGAACCCTATAGCCTACCTTGGCACTGGAATCCTTGCTTCCCGAAGCCCCTGCAAAGGTAGAAAGAGGCATGTCAGACACCCCGAGGGGCCCAGCCGCCGGTTAGTTCCCCCGCAGTCACCCCACTTCCCCCTGCCCCTCTGGCCCAGGTGCAACCTCCCAGCCACAGGCGGGTGCCCAAGAGTCTTCCGCCTTTGAGAGGGAGGGGCAAGGCAGGAGTTCAGCGGTAACCTCCATCTCCCCTCAAAAGGCAGAAGAGAGGAGGTTGCGACCACCAGGTGGCGGGGTCGGGGGAGCGTTTCCGTCGTGGTGGGGGCGGAGGGCAGACAGGAGATCTGCCCACAGAGATGCCAGCGTACCCTCGGAGAAAGAGAAAAGGAAAAGACGCATCCGGAGGGAGACTGGCAGAGCCCCCGCGGCGGTGGTGTTCCCGGGAGGACAGGGAGGGAGAGAGAACTCCCCATGCCTAGAGGGACGGGGGGCCGGAGGGTTCCCGCAGTGATCTGCACCGGGGAACAGAGGAGTGGAAAGGAGAACCCGGGCTCGCAGGGAGGAGCAGTAAAGAGATAACAGGGCGCTGCCCTCGGAGACACGGAGGAGGAGGAAAGGATGCCCTGTGCCCGCAGGGAGATAGAGAGAGGACACTCAAGGCGCTGCCCCCGGAAAGGAGGGAAGGGGGTGAGGGTGCCTCGAGCCCGGAAGGAGGCGGAGGAACAGGGAACCCCGTGCGAAAGGGCACTCGAGACGCTGCCCTCCCGGGGAGGGACAGCCGTCCGCGCCGCGGCCCCAGGGCGCTCCGAGGCGACTGGGAGGGAGACAGGGCAGAAGGCACCCCGCGGTCGGCCGTCTGGGACCCGGGGGAGCGGGAAGCCGCAGCACCGTCCACCGGGGAGTCCAGCGCAGCACGGTCCGCAGCGGGGAGCTCCGGGGATGCGGGGCTTCTCCTCCCTCCGAGGCGCAGGGCGGGGGGGGGGGGGGGCGCGGACAAGGGTCCCCGCGCGCGCGGCGCTGCCCTCGGGGCCCCGAGAAGGTGCCCTGCGCCGGCGCCCTCTCACCAGATGAAGTCGGTGCAGTGGCTGCAGAAGGTGGGCTGCTTGAAGAAGCGGGCGGTGAATTTGTGGTTCTTCACCTCGTGGACGTTCTTCTGCCGGAGGGCGCCTTTGCGGGCGAAGCGCACGGTGCTCTCCTCGCCCTCGCTCGGCGGCGGCCCCACGGCCGGGTCAGCCATCTTGCGCGCGGGGAGCCGGAGCCCGAGAAGTGCCGGCCCGGGGCCGCGGGACCGCGGGTTGCGGGGCCGGGAGGTGCGGGAGGAGGCGGCCGCTTAGGCGCCCGGGGCCGCGGGCGCTTCCTCTGCGCCGGCTCTGGCGGCCGCGGCGCGCGGAGCTGGAGCTGTCACTCGCCCAGCTGCCGCCGTTCGTCCAGCTGCGCTTGGCACCGCTGGCCCCAGCTGCGGGGGAGGGGGGCGGAGCCCCGGGCAGACCCCGCCTCCCTTATTTGCATCGCTTCCAGGCCCCGCCCAGCGCCGCCAGCTGCTTTACATATTAGCACCCCGAGGCTGCCGGCCTCCCAGCTAAGCGTTCTCAGCCGCAGCGCTGCGGCGGCACCGGGGAACCGCAGTCTGGAACCGCCAGACCTGAGCCTCGGTCCCCCCGCGCCCCGCACCCCTGACCCTGTCCTCGGCCTGGATTGCAAGAAGGCGATAAGCACCTTGGGTGCGCCCGGGGGAACCGAGAGCGGAAAAAGACTGATGGAGCTGGGGAGGGGTGGGGTGGGGGTGGAGGAAACGGGGGAGCGGTGGGGAGTGGAAGGGTGGGTGCGACGGTTTCCAACTGGGCTTCTGCAGAGACTGGTACCCATCCACAGCCTATCTGTGCCATTGGTCACTCTGCACGCGGCTCCTGGAGGGACGGGCTCCCGCTGTCACTCATTCGGAAAGGCCTGTGGCTCCACACACTTACACACACAGACGCACACACGTACTGCAGAGGGAAGGGAGGAGCGATCATTATTTTATGCATACACGTCTAACTCGACCACGAAGACAATTCTTGGCTTTGCTCGCCAGATCGTTTAGAAGAAAACTCCCTACTTTCTGTCCATCCCCCTCCACAAAGGGACTCAGTTTCTGTCAACTTTAAAGTGGGGCCGTTAAAGGGAGTGGGGAGGTGGAGGGAGGGATAAACTGGGAGCTTGGGCTTGACATATGTAGCTACTGTATATAAAATAGATAACTAATAAGGACATACAGTGTAGCACAGGGAGATCTACTCAGTACTCTGTAATGGACTATTGTTTAGTCACTCAGTTGTGTCTGACCCTTTACAACCCCATGGACTGTAGCCTGCCAGGCTCCTCTGTCCATGGGATTTCCCAGACAAGAATGCTGGAGTGGGTTGCCATTTTCCGTCTCCAGGGGATCTTCCCGACCCAGGGGTCGAACCCACACCTTCTGCATTGCAGGTGGATTCTTTACCACTGAGCCACCAAGGAAGTCCTATAGGGGAAAAGAATCTTAAAAAAGAAAAAAAAATTTAAGAGGCCAGTGTTTCCCCAACGTTCACTCCTGACCCATCTTCACAAATGCTGGTCATATTTGTGCACCATCTAGGGAAAAAATATTTATCTAGTTTCTGAGTTTGAATAGCAAGAGGTATACATACTATGAAAATCTCTCCAGATGCTGCCACTTGCCCAAAACACCTGAGGCCTTCTTTTGTTTAAGGAAGATTACCAAATGTTAGAGAGATGTTAAAGACACACTAACATCCAACTGGGACTCTCCCCTGGATGGAATCTGAAAGGTAGAAAGGCAAGTGAAGAGTAATAATTATCTACACGAGTAATGCAGTGTGATTTAGTGCCCCATCCAAGAAGCAAACGGCCTGGGAAGTCCCATGGACAGAGGAGACTGGTGGGTTACAGGCCACGGGATTGCAAAGAGTCTGACACAACTTAGTGACTAAACAACAGCATCCATGCACTGCATTTGAACACTTACCCACCATGCTCCACACTCTGGGAACACAGTGCCACATTAGACTGTGAACTCCTGCACTAGACCTAGGCTCTGAGAGCAAGCTCTGCTCACCATTATGTCACCTTGCACCAAGCTCTGTGCCTGACACCTCCTCAGAGCTCAATAAATATTGGTTGAATGAGTAATTGTGTGAACAAGTGAATGAATGAAAACTTAAAGGACATTACCCCTTTCCCCCACCGGTGTCCAGTAAGTATTCAATAACAATAAACATCAGGTGCTAGGTGAGTGTCACAGATACTTGCACTGTCTTCTTCAGCCCTCTCGGTAACCCCGTGTCGGTTTAGGAACTTTCATGATGGATAAAGACAGCAAGGCTCAGAGTGATTAAGAGCGACACCCAAAGTCACATTGCCGTTGAGTGGTGGTTAAACCTGCTGAAGCACAAAGCGTACTGGTGACAAAGGGCTGAAGGAGGGCAGGATGGTGTTGAACCAGTTACGTTGAACTTCTGCCTAATGAAGCTCGGGTCCTCCTAGGATGATTTTGCCTGGAAGCTGCTGAGTCTAAATCGTTATTAAGCAGCATGTGGAGAGCGATGACTGTCATAATGGAATGTCCTTTCCCTACGTAGTAATTCAAAGGTAACAAGGAAAAAATAGCCTTCACTTTTAAGTTTGACATGTTTGGGAAACTGGACGTGCATGTCTATTATTAGTCCTTTAAGAGGCCCCAGCATCTTCCAGGGAGGCTTGCAAAAACATCCCAGGAGACATTGCTGCTCAAGTAGGTTTTCTTTGAACTGATGAGCTGGAAGCTTGCAGCCCACATCCTGCCTTTTGAATGAAGAGTTCTGGATGATTTTGGTCTATAACAACAAACAGGACCTCATGGGGCCTGGGCCTAAAGAGGCAAAAGTTGGTAGATCCTGAAGAACCACTCAATTCCTGGAGGGGCTGCACTATCTGAAGATGGGGAACACAGTTCCCAGTGGGCCCGGATCCTATAGGGCAGGGGTCTCAAACAGGTGGCCTTGGATACATTCTTTTAGCCATCCCAGTGAACATATACTTTTTGGTTCACATTGGTAGAACTTCACCTATATATCCAGATTCTGACTTCTCTAGGGAAAAAGTTATGATTACATGGAGCCTGCATGCTTCTATGCCCTCATTCATTTGTTCACTCATTCAGGATTGAATTTATTGAATATGTTATGTGTTGTTCTGCATACTGTTAAATAATAGACAAAAGTCCCTGCTGTCATAGAGCCAAATGTGAAGATGGACAAAAACCTAAGGAACTAATAAATCTATACTAAGTGGCATGGGGATTCATCCTGTAAAGAAAAATAAAGCATGGTAAAAGAATGAAGAGTGACAGCAACCAGGGAGATCCTTTATGAAAACAGAACATCTGAGCAAAGACCTGAATAAAATGAAGGGATGAGCCATGGGGCTATGAGGGTAGAGAATGTTCCAGGGCAGAGAAAACAGCAAATGTAACAGGCCTGGAGGAGGAGTGTGCTCAACATGTTAGAGAAGTAGCAAGTTCTCTGTGGCTGGAGTGAACAGCTACAAGAAATGTCCATAAAATAGCAGGGTCTTGTAGATGTGTGGTAGGGAATTTGGACTTCACCCCAGTGAATGGGAAGCCACTGGAGGATTGAGAGCAGAGAACTGGCCTGATATATTTGGAGTTTGTGGGGGTTTTTTGTTTTTTGTGTGTTTTTTTAAGATTACCCTGAATACTATGCATAAAAAAAACTGAAGGTGGAGAGAGTAGAAACAGGGAGGGCAGTTGAAGTCATTTGAGTAGATGAAGCAAAGGATGATGACAACATGAAATGGTGTTCCTTGGAGCGAAAGGGCAGTGGCTCTCTTTATAATGGGCATGGCCCTCTAGGTCATGTGGTCCACTCTGCTTGTAAAAGAATGAATGCTGGCCACTTGAAAGATTTCAGAGGCAATAAGAAAGCAGATTGCTCTGGCTGGGAATGAAATCCAGGAGCTTTCAAGTCCACACCTCAAACTTGCTGTTTAGTTTCCTGTGGCTGCCATAACAAATAACTGCAAAACTAAGTGCCTAAAAAAAACAGAAACTTATTCTTTCACAATTCTGAAGTCCAGAAGACTGAAATCAAGATGTCTGCAGGCCCTACTCCCTCTGGAGGTTTTAGAAAAAATCTTTCCTTGCCTCCTCCAAGTTCTGGTGGCTGTCAGCTTTCCTTATTTTCCTTGGCTTATGGGCACATCACCCCCATTGCTGCCTACGTCTTCACATCAGTTTCTCTCTGTGTACCAGTCTTCTCTTTGGTTTGTCTAATCTTCTTTGTGTATCTCTTTCAAGGACACTGGTCATTGGATTTAGGGCATGCCCAGATAATCTGTAATAGTGTCTTCATCTCAAAATCATTAACTTAATTCCATTTGCAAAGACTGTTTTACCAAAGGAATTAAGGCATGGACATATATGGGACTCCTCTGGTGGTTTAGTGGTTAAAACTACATACTTCCAATGCAGGAAGTCTGCGTTCAATCCCTGGTCAGGAAAACTAGATCCCACATAGCATAACTATGACCTGGAATAGCCGAAAAAAGACATGGACATATCTTTGAGGGGGTGACCATTCAATCCACAACAGTGCATACCCCTGGGCAAGTCACTTCCTCCCTCTGGGTCTCGCTATCCTCAACTGTAAATAGTGGCAGGGATACAGTTTGCCTTCCAATTCTTTCATTAGAAGGGTACATTCTCACAGTACAGTGGTCAATTAGCACATATGGAATGTAGCTAGTCTCAACTGAGATGTAATTGCAAGTGTAAAATACACCTCAAAATATTACATACCTAGCATGAACAAGAATATAAAATACCTCAAAAATAATTTTCATCTTCATTGCACATTGAAAACATATTTTGAATATATTGGGTGAAATAAAATTTCTCTCTAAAACTAATTTTACCTGCTTATTCTCACTTGTTTAATGTGGCTTCCAAAAAAATATAAAATTATGTATGTGCCTCACATTATATTTTTTGGACAGCTCTATTCTAAAGAATGGATTTTTTAAAAAAAATTTTGGCCACACTGTGCAGCACAAGGGATGTTAGTTCCACAACCAGGACTTGAGCCCTCACCCCGTGCACTGGAAGTGCAGAGTCTTAACCACTGGACCACTACAGAAGTCCCATCTAAAGAACAGATTTTAAAAGTAAATTTAAAAATTTAAGAAGAAAATATAAATATA